AAAAAAATTACAAATAATTTACCTCACTGCTAAGGTTTTGCCCGCTTCTATGGTTGTTCATCGCTTTTGTCAAGGCATCTCTCCACTTTCCCAACTCTTTATTAAGAATTTTCCACCTACTAGATAATGCTTGATCCGTACGGGTCGAACCAATTACCCTTTCACAAAATTCTTGATGAATTTTTTTCCACATATGACAGAATTTGATCTCATTGCCCGTTACGGGACAATGACTAACTTGGAGCCAAGCCTCACACAAACTAATATCTTCCGTCATGCTCCATGCTCCTCCTCCGGTTTCACTAGAAGAACCCATAATATGATAGAGAAAAAAACAACTTGAAAGAGAGAAAAAAACCACTTGAAAGTGAAAAAAATTTGACTAGAAAGTGAAAAATAGTAGAATGAGAAGAAAATGTATGAAGAGTTGGTGTTAAAAGTGAAGAGTATTGGTTGGTATTTATGGAAAAAAATTTCAGTATTTTTTTCGTATTTTTTTAAATTTTTTCCAATTTTTTTTCTATTTTTTTTGGGCAAAAAATTGCCTGCCGTTGGATTGCTGGAAAAAACCAATCGGAGAGCCCAGGAGCTTCCACGTGGCATAGAGCCGTTGGGGGTTACTTTTTTGATTTTTTTATTCGCGAAAAAATGGCTGCCGTTGGATAAGTTTAAAAAGCAGATCGGATGGCCCAGCATGCGACACGTGGAATCATGCCGTTGGGCGGCTTACTGTAGCGCGCGTCAAATTTTTTTTAAACCGGGAGCGTGTATTGCACGCGCCAGCTTTAAAAAAATTTAAACAGCAGCGCTGACGTCATCGTGACTTCAGCGCGCTGACGTCATCCCAGCCCACGGGCTGGAGCTCGGGCCAGCCTCCCCCTCGGGCTTGCCCAGGTTTGTAGGCCTCACTGTTTGCCCTGGCAGCTTCTTGTTGCTGGAAACCAGTTTTTGGGTTTGCCCCCCCCAACCCTCCCCTTGGGCCCTTTGCTGCCAATGCTCTTACACACAGAAAAGTTGTCACACCCCATGTTTTTTTTTTTTTTTTTTTTGAGGGAATGTGAGGTAAAAGAAAAATTAAAACTAAAAACTTAAATATCAAGAAACATAAAGATTGAACATAAACTTCCATTTATGTTAAAGTAATTTACATTGTACTATTATAAGCAAAATAATAAGAAAGTAACAAACTTTCAGCAAAACACTCAAAACTATCCATAATCCGTTCTTCTTGTTTCCTCAGCAAAATCTAAACTTCAGATTCAAAGCCTGCAATAGATTCAATAAGGGGTGAGCATTACATGCTCAGTAGGGGTCCTATGTCTTATGTGATTAGTGAGAATTATAATGTACAATTTATGCAATGCATGAATGAACTTCATTTCTACCCAACCCGTTAATTTATATAATAGGGCAAACAAATCTGCATGTCCCATACCATGCATTTTACCACTGTGATTCCGAATGCCCCATTATATAAACTAACACTCGTCTCAGTTATCCTATAATTCCCCTTTTGCTAGTCATCTTGTCTACACCATTGATCTCCAAGCCCAAATCACCCAATCGACAATTATACCGCCGATTTCCTAATCTACGGTGCACACGGGCTCGCCTGAACTTGGTCCCTACAATGGTTAGACTCAACTACACAAAAGATTCTTCCCATTATCCTATTTTCCATAATTTCTTTATCAACCCAAAAAAATTCCAACCACCACCGACAACATATGAATATGTCAGTATTCATCAAATTATAATGATAATTGACAATACGTATATACCCAATCTCAAGGATAACAATCAAATGAAATAACCAAGCATAATATAGTATTTACAATAATAATCAAATAATATTACTAAGCATAATATAGCATTTACAATATTTAATTAAATTAATGTATGCAAAACCTCTCCAAGAAAAACCCCTACCTCAAATCCAAAGCTATTGTACACTTCCCAGTTGAGCTTTTCCAAAATCTTATCACACTTAGTTTTCACTTTTGAATTTTTAAGAAACTCACACAACTTTGAAGAACCTATGGTTCAATAACTATTAGTTAGAACTATATATAGTAGGTTAGAGTCGGCAAAACATTAATAGATGAAGCTTTAACATTTATGCCACCTAACTAACCTAGGGATCTCTAGACTACAACCTATGATTTATAGACTAAATTGGTGGCTTGAAGGTAAAACTGCCACTCCATTTAGTCTTAGGTGTTGGCTTCCGGAGAGTGCTTAGTGAGCACTTGCCAAATACATTTATATATATGATAACATCTAATATTCTTACACCTCATCTCAAAACATACCACCTCATGCTTCAATTGGTTTTTGAAGACTCCCTAATGCAACACGTCAATTAAGAGAAAGCTTAGTAAGCATCAATACCTTTCTAAAAGCTTTTATGTGTATAGCATAAATATTAAATGAATTGCTATAGTTAAAGTCATATAATGAGGTTTGATAGGCCATAACAAGATTCACGTAGCTTACCATATAACTAATTAATATATATATATATATATAGTTTTGAAAACTAATAATTATAAATAATTAATTTTATGAAATATTAATATACATATTTAAAAAAATATGGGGTTTTACAAAAGTGTAGGCCTAGGGCGAAACAAAATAGCCCACAAAAGTGTAGGCCGATGGTTCAAAGGGACTAGTCTACCATTTTGTTCTTATCGCCTTCCTAAAAAACGAATATTCAGTCATTAAACCTGGATCAACTAAAAGTTTTATCCCAAAATCGTTTACTTTGTCTACTTAACTAAAGATTGTGTTGAATTCAAAATATGTTTTTTTTTATAAAAAAAATATAGAAAGACAAGACACCACATATTATAATTTCTCATAGGTCTACATTATCTTGAGCAATTATCAGGACAATTGACCGTATCTCCTTCTCCGAAAAATGCATGAAGTTTCCTGGAATGATTAACTTATATACTTGAAAATGATATTTGTTGTCCATGCTTTACAACACCATCCACTCAACCACAGCCGCCCTTTCACTATTTCATTGGTAATTTACTTGTTTAACATATTGAATTAGTCAAATTGATATACATCATGTATATAATTTTAATCATTTACCTCTCATTCATTACTTTCTCTAATTATTCTACTAATTACCTCCATTAACCTAATCACTCAATCCGTGGTTGCTCAGCCACGTTACCTGTCCAACTTCTGTTTTCCCAACAACAAAGGCAACTTACCACACAAACCTCAACAACCTTCTATCCACTTCCCTCCTCTCCAACTGTAACGGCCGCGGCTTCTACAGCTCCTCCTCCGCCCAAAAAGACGTCGAAAGAGTCTATGCAATCGGGTTCACCCCGATTCTTGCGGTAGTTGCCTCTGGTGATGTGCCTGCCACCTCCAATCCTGAATATCTTAAGTGGTTTGATGCTCATCAACTCATCCTCAGCTACCTTAATTACCTCCACCCTTACTGTTGGTTGTGCTTCTTCTCGCGAGATTTGAACTTGTCTTCAGACTCACTTTACTAACTATTATCAAAACAAATCCAGCGGGTCTTAGAGACCCCCATCACGCTGTCAGCTAATAAGGTGCCAGTCCAAGCTGGAGCAGACTCAAGAAGGCATACACCCAGATCCCCGTTGTAGCGTGAACTCTACGACAAGAAAAGCTCACAAATCAGGCAGCGTGAACTCTACGACAAGAAAAGCTCACAAATCATCGTCCATGTGTTTAAATCTCTCTTAAACCAAAAAATTTCATCCTGTCCTCTTCTCCGACCTAGCACTTACAATACATGAACAAATAATACTCTTGCATATATTGAAAATATAAAACTGAGAAACCCAATTTATGTGGGCAGATGTTCGAAATCCAGACACCCAATGAATACATGTGTAAACTCCTTCCTCCAATCACTTGCACTAAAAAAAGTCAACTGTAAGAATTAGAAATTGTTATAAAGTGGTTATTTTTTTTGATGGAAAAATATTTCTATAAAATGGAAACCGAAAAATGAAATTGTATATTCAGGATCTGAAAATGTGACTCATAGCTTAGTTAAAATTGAAGCTTGGTTGCAGCAATGATTCTTAGAATATACCTTTTCACATTTTCGTCTCCGGAATTTCAATAATATTTGATGTCGTACTCTAAGTGACACATTGTCATTTCGGTCAATTTTCTATTATAAGAAAATATCGTAAACAAGCATTGGTGGCGATTATTATTTTAAACCTGGCGTGTGAAACGAGATTGCTAAGAATGATGCCTCAGAAATTCTATATTATAGGTGCCCAGCTCATTGTCGCGTGATCTTCTAAAATTTTGGCTTGATTTTTATTTTTTTTAATACGACACTTTCAAAACGTACGTTACGAGGATTCGAACTTATCAATATTCTTTTTTAATGTGCTAGAATTCGTTGGCATTTTGGCTTTGCTATTAATAAGTAAATAACACATCCCTTTTACATAAATTTTTTTACAAAACTTTGATATCACATTCACAAACTCATATTGTGAAACACTCTTAACTGCTTTAAAAAGCAGTTTTATTGAAAGCAAAACAATAACAGACTAGCCCATATTGTCACGACTCCCTGCAATCCAAACCTGAACAGAAGCCATGAAATACTGTATATCTTGTCCAACACAAAATTCTCCAACTTGAACTCATTTCCACGAGCTCCATCCGGTTCTCAGCAAACTATAAAGTGGTCACGGAAAACACAGTCAGCAAATCGATCACACTCATGATCAATAGTACGTAATACAAAAAACAAAACAACAAAAAAATCCCTAAATTTTTATTCTGAGCATGCCACGTCATTTAGAAATAATCCAAACACGAAAAACAAGAAACTACATTAGTTTTCCCAAGGGACTTACATGAAAATTGGAGAAAACAAGGTCTTTTACAAGGGACTTACATGAAACTTCCTTAATTGAAAGATGAACAAATTATACGTTTTGAGACGAGGAGGAGTGATTGAAATTTGAAAGGGGCTGCTAGTTTGGTTTCTCTTTTTTTTTTTTTGGCTAAGCTGTTGAAAGCTTGGTTTGGTTGTGAGAGAATGCTCAAATGAAGAAGAAAGAGCTGCCATGGGAAAAATATGTGGTTTTATGTTTTTAGCTTTCGGATGATGTTTAAATGATGTGCCATGCATGCTCTGAAGAAAGTCAAGCAGATCCAAGCTAGGAAAAACCAAGCACAGGATCCGCGTCCTATTTTGTAAGGCTACATATCCAACCTTAAAGAGGTGAACACAGATCCACATATCCATGGGGAATTGGCTTGAACCTCTATGCACTGAAATATATACATATTAGAGAGAGATGGTACCGATCATTTACCTTATGAGTATACCCCTGAAGAGTGTGATAAACGCCCAATACCCCTGCAATTCACAACTCATGACATTAGGAAAATTTATTGATAGCGTGCGCGCGCGCGCGCGCACACACACATATATATATATATATATATGTCAATACAAGTTGACAACTGAGGGATCATTTACCTCATGATGATGCTTTTTTGGGGGATCGTTTCTGCCGCCGCCACCAGTTTTCCATTTTCTAGAAGAAAGGTGACTCGTCCGTTGGTATTGAAATACTGTGCTGGAAGGACCGTCGCGGTCCTCGTACCATTAGCAGTTGCGATGACATGAACGGTTCTGGGAACACCAGTATAAGAACTATGATCCAGGAATTTCTTCCCTCTTATCAATTTGCGACCCGCAGGTGGCATCTTAGCAACTAGCTTTCCCTCCGAGACATCACCTCTCTCAACCTCTCTTATTTCAACCTCCACCGTTGTACTGTTTTTAATCTCGGTCATCCGAGCAAACAAATCAAAAAAGTTCTTCATTGAGTTGCTATTCCACCCCAACCCTCAGGCTCTGCTCCCCAAGGCTCTAACCACTATATATTGTCTAGGGTCAGCCACACTGATAAAACAAGTGGGGCAATATTAATGTCAAAAAAAGACAAGATCAACCTACTAATATTATAAGAGCATCGCCAGCGTCATACCCAAACTGGGGGAAAGGCTGCCCTGGCGAGCCCAAGACACCTCCAGCGCAGCAGATGCAGCCTGGTTTCATGGTGGGTTCCACCAGCCCGGGCAGGCCCAAGGGCAAATTCAGCCCGAGCTGCTGCCAGGGCAAGCTGATGCAATGTTGACGTCATAATGACGTCAGCAACCCCAAAAAAAAATAAATAATAAATAAATAAAAAACCAAAAATTTCAGAATTTTTTTAAATAAATACCTAGGCATATTCTTTACTTCCCACACAAAAAACTATATACAAATTCATCTCCTCATATCTCATATGAATAGTATTTGCCTTAGACTTGCCCTAGACTTAGCTATCATGGGTGGAACCACAAATGCAAAGGCTGACACTATTCACATGAATAGTGACATCCTTTGCTTGCCCTTGCCTTAGACTTAGACCTTGTGGGTGGAGGTGCTCTAAGGGTAGGCATTGGAACCGATCAACCGGATTGAACTGGGCCGAAGGAGATTTAAATACTAAAAAATAAAAAAAGCCGAGTTCACCAAATAAATCAACTTAGGTTGAATACCAAATTGAACCGATCCGATTTCAGTCCCAATTTTTGTGATGAATCTGCAGGGCGGTATGAAACCAGACCAGTTGCATGAGATATTATTTTTTGGATACTGTTTGTGAAGGATGCATTTCTACTTTCTGTAAATCACGTTTTGACACATATATAAAAATAATTCTAAAAAATATAAAAGAAAAAGTCTCTACACATGTCAAATTGTGATTAGCAGAAAAGTAAGAATTCTTACTTCTTGAAAAACTTATTTTCTTATTTGTTTTAAATATTCATGTCCATTAGCCATTTCAAGCACAATTAGCCCAAAATATAGCAACCTAATACCTAATCCCCAAGCCCAAACCTATCTCCCTGCCACTTTTTTTTTCTTCTCTCTCTCTCTCTCTCTCTCTCTCTCTCTCTCTCCCCCCCTTCTTATGTGCCTTTTCTCTCTTCTTCTTTTTCTCTTTTATTTTTCTCCTTCTGTCTTTTCAGTGGTGGATCCAGAATTTTTCCGAGGGAGATGCAATATTAACCAAAATAAATATTAATTAGTCAATATCTTCAATATCAGTGGTGGACTCTCATACTAACCAAAATCAATATCAATAAATTTAACTAAAATAAACATCAATTAATAAAATCAAAATTTATATCAAATTATAAATTAATCTAACTAATCATAATTGATCATATCGAGTCATGCTCAACATAGTTTCTATGCTCGAGTTTGTTCTAGTTTAACAATGCATTACATTCTAACTTACTTTGAAAGCTTGAGCGATACAATATTTTCTTTGGTTTGTCTGAGAATGTTCATGGCATGGAATTTCAAGATTTCATTTCGGAACCTACTTCTTTTTGAGAAATCTCACCATAGCTTTGCACGTTAAAGTTTTAAACTCTTATCTCTTTCATTGCACCACTTTGGACAACATGGTTTTTTCTTTGGTTTGTCTGGAGTGTTCATGACATGGAAATGAGTTTTCAAGATTTCATTTTGAAAGTTGTTTTTTTTTAAAATAGAAAATATGACCACAGCTTTGCACATTAACGTTTTAATCTCTCATCTCTTTCATTTGCCATTTTGGAAAACTTGGTTTTCTCTTTGGTTTGTCTGAGAGTGTTTGTAGCTTCTGGAAATAAGGGTTTCAAATATTTTTTGAAATTTGCCTTTATTTTCGAAATCTACTTCACCCATTGAGAATTTTTTAGAGTAATTTTACTCTGCATTCTCTACTTGGTGAAGTCTAGGTTTTTCATTGTGAGATTTTGAAAATGATTTTTAAAATTTGCTGTGCTTTTAAAATATGCATATGGGTTCATTTTGACTTGTCAGATTCTTGGTTGATTTTTTGAAGAGTATGGTTTCTTGAAGGAATTGACAATTTCATCTCAAAATCTATATTTCATTATGTATGTTTGATCCAAAGTTGAGTTGCGATGCCATGAAGTGAAGAAGTTGATGGATTAGCTGTATTTTTCATGAAGGACAAGATACTAGCTCCACTAAGTTGGAGAAGAAGGTTGCACATGGAGGTAGTGCTAATTTCCTAAATAGACCTAAAACTGCTTGAGCTTGTAATATCTGTAAGAACCTTCTTGACTTAGTGGATCTAATGGTCGGATGATGACCCTTAATTTTTTCCAGTGAAAAGTTTCTGGGTGAACATTTATGGTGTGCTATTCTTGAAAAATAGCATAGGAGGAGAGATGATTGACCACTCGGACTGTTCGATGCATCTCCTTAGTCAGTGATTGCCTTGCACATTTTATTTTTTCTTTTAACTGACCTGGTCAAATTTATGCACTTATCATGGTAAAAAATAGCAGGCCAGAGGCCCAACTTTTTATCCAGCTTTCAACTCAACATAAAATGGCGAGCTTTATTATTATTATTATTATTATTAGGGTACTAAATTTTTTCACTCTTTTTTTGTTCACTTACACGCCATTTTGTTTTGAAAAAAAATACTTTTAACTATAACATACAAAGAGAGTATAAGTGGACAAAAGATGAGTGGTAACATATAATTTCCAACAAGGAGAATGTAAGTGGACAAAAGAGGGTGGGAAAATCAACTCCCTTATTATTATTTTTGGTTCTTTAATGAGGCAAGAAAATTGATAAAAGATGTCGTCCAAAGTCGAACTTTTATATAATGCGTTCATTTTCTAAATCAGTGGGGATGTGATAATTTCATATTTCTCTTGTGAAACAAGGAAGGTTTCCTCTTTGACCAAAAGAGAAGAAGATGCCCTCTTATGTAAAGACAAGCACTACCCCCATCCTTAATCATATAGTAATTAAAGTTAACGGGATTTAGCCCAATAGAAAAAGGTTTTGATTTGCAGATAAGTGATTTCATGACACTTTGACAGTATGTATGTGAGAGAGAGCTCTCTAATTATGTGGTTTAAACTATCGCTTATATTAAAAAAAAAAAAATCATCCAAAAAGTAGTAATTAAAATGGTGGATAATACCCATATAATACCCGTAATTACAAGATATGGTGGATGGCACAGGTGCTGGGCGTGGGCCTTTTGCAGTTGAATTTTTTGGGGTTAATTTTGTCCTTTGTTACGCGCGAATCTAAAAGAGCTATGCCTGATGGTTTCCAGGAAAGAAGACTTGTTCTTATATGCGTGAATAATAGTTATTTAAAAGAAAAAAAAATTGTTAAGCACCTATTTGTAATAAATTAAAAGTTTTTAAATAAAAAACAAACATGGAGCGACTTGTGGGTTATCGGCCCACCGTCTTTCGCTATAGCATTGCCTTTCGTTTTGCATTTTTTTTGTATTCATTTCTTGGGTTGCTGTACCTACTATTTTGCTCCGACCCTAGTCTATTGAGTGGGACAATTTACCATGCATGCAATTATTTATGGGCAATGATTTCCCCACTCCTATTTTATCCACTTACACTCCTTTTTTAGTTATAAAAAAGGAGTGTAAGTGGATAAAATATGAGAAAAATCATGGGTAAGTTTTTCATTAATTATGGGGTGATTTTCACCTTTTTTCCCTTAAGTTTATTGAGTTTCAGCCTTTATTACACAAAGTCTTTTTATCATTAACACTTTGAAATCAATCAATTTTGTCCTTAATTGTGCTCAACAATTCAATTTAGTACATCTCGTTGCATTTTATTAAAAAAAATATTTGTTAAAATTGGTCACGTAATCAACTTTAAGGAGTTATTTTTATCAAAACACTACCTATGTACTCATAACGAAAAGTAAATCTTATGTATTTTTCTTGATAAGGCTATTCGGTCTCGTTGATAGAACCAAAATGTAAAATCCCAAATGGAGAAATGATGCCATGTGATCAGACAAAATAAATACGGAAAATTGGATTAAACAAAAATATAAAACTTATATATATATATATTTGTAAATTTTTTATTATAAAAAAACTAAATATCTCATGCTCCCTTTCCTCTTCCTTTCTTCAACAACCATGAACCTTAACCCACCCTTCACCCCCTGTCTCGTTAGCCTCCATCCACCACCTATAGTGCAGCCTCTAGCCATCTCATCTAGTGTCACGCTCCAGACCCAGGGGTCGAGGAAAACCCCGAGCCCGGTGCATGAAAAAATAAAAAGTAAAATAAAATAAAAAAAGAAAAGAAAGAAGAAACATGAAATAAACTTTCCTTATAAAAATAGCTCCCAAAATCTTACAACTTTACATTAAATAAAGCTCTATCACTCTCATCTAATTCGGCCTCAACTGATTTAGTCCTTTTCTTGCCCACTAATTCATCTGAAAAATTAAACATGGTGAGGGGTGAGTAACCACAGCTCAGTAGGGACATGAGACCTTACCAAAGTAGATTGACATAACTAAATTAAGTGACATGCAATCACATAGCCAAATATCATATTATTAATAATAATGCATGAATGCTCTTCATCTAATCCCGTTAATTCATATAATTGGACAAGCAGACCTGCACGTCCCATACAATGCTTATACCACTTGGTCTCGAATGCCCATTAATATGAACTAACACCCATTTCAATCATCCCATAATTCCCCTTTTGTTAGTCATCTTGTCTAACTCCCTTTCGCCAGTCCCGAATCACCTAATAAAAACCATGTGCACTGTGGAATCCCTGAGACCTGGTACCTGCCAAGAGTTAGACTCAACTACACAAAATACTATTTCCATTACCCTATTTTCCATCATTATTTTCTCAATCCAACAACTCCAACCAATTACCATGACATGATATAATCATGCCAACATTATTCAAATAATTCACAATACGTAAATATCCTATATCAAGAACATTATACAATATCACACATAATATAGAGCTCACGAAATTTAATTAA